ATTCTCTGAACGTACAACATTTCTAAGCTCCCACGTATTAATTAAAGTATAATGATAATTCTAAACTTCCTTTCGATATGTAAATAGTAAACTATTTTGCAAATTAATATCGTTACGATACTGGTCATAACGGTAGATAGATAAATGAAGAAATAACTCCTCAGGTTACAATACCTTGTGCGTTATATCTCACTTACATTAAGCTTTCTCGTTGGTTCACGTTGGCCGTCATGCCGTGACATTCAATTTAGGACCTCATTGTTTTCACATTCTAAACTTACCAAAGCATCCAAACAACCCCAAATCAACCATGAAGGTTAAGAACACCAGCTTATTTGTGGCTGCATTATCTTCCCCAAATATGCGTTTATTAGATGATACTTATTGTTTTCATTTTTTATTCCTGGCAAATTAAATTAATTTCAGATTTAAAACAATGAACGGGGTCTTTCTAATGAATGATTGACATTCCGTCAAACAGGACCTATTCTTTTGGGGCAGGGTCAAAACCGTACCAACAGATTATATTTCATCCCTGGGGATGTTCTTTTCATGAAATATTGCATATTTGTTGTTTCTTTTTGGACACCATTAAGTTTATGTGTCTCTCATTTTATCAGTTCACAAATAAATGTTTATTTTCGTAAATATTTGTTCATGTAAAACTTTGACGAGGGAAATAGATTTGAGAAATGAAATTATATGTTACTGTATCACGATATGTATCTGAAATTCAATGCATTGAACTTTTATATTTTAATAGTTATTAAAAAGTATATGCATACTTATATTATTATTATTATTATATAACTGCAAAAAAATATAATTTTAAATATTTTACACATGGAAAATTCAAATTTTATAGCAGTACAAACAATATACTGAAATAATTGAAATCAATAAGCCTTAGGTCGAGCAAGAAGAGTCTCCACTTTTATTAAATTATTTATAGCAATTTGTACCGTTTCCAGACAATAATATAATTTTTAAAACAATGTCGATCATTATTGATATATTTATATTTTTTTCCAAGTAGTCTGCAGAATACTACAAGTAATTTTTTTGTAGCTTACAAACTTCTATATAATGCATATCAAGTTCTAAATATTCCATATCCATTAATAGTTTGCTTCAAAATTTCATTAATAATTTAGCTAACTCCATTATACCAAACGAAATTACACACTGTTATCTCCTCATCCAATGCACGAAGTGTATCGAAATAACTCTAAATAGTAACGAAGCGGTTCATCTGACTAAATTCAGACAATGAGTATGATAGATATTCAATTATTCATTTAATGTTCAGCTTATATGTGTAATAGTACCTACAGAATGGAATAGATATCGGTTACAAGTAAATTCATTGGACATTAGAAATTGATATATTTCGAAATACTTCTCAACAATAGCAACATAACAATAATATATTAACATTGGATATATTTTTTTTGAAATGGGAATAACAACACTTTCGTTTTTTATCTAAAATAACTTTGTCCGTAAATAAATTCCCACAATACAAAGTTTATAAAACTCTACTTTATTTGGGTTTAAAAATTATTTTCTTGGAGAGAGTAACTGTTTGTTCTATTAAAAAAAAAAAACATGTTTGGGATAATTTCAATTAAAATATTAAAAATATTCTGCCGTTTTTACAATTGGCAATGTCGAACAAATTAAACAGCCTAGCCCGTAGCTTAGGCAACCCAACATTGCACGAACTGGTAACGAAAAATCACAGCCGGTGAAATAGAATGTTGTGTCTGAATGTAATCTTGATCTTATTGTTTCAATAATTTTTAATTTTACCAAATTAAATGCCAACATGAAGAAAATAAAAGTAGTGCTCCAAACAAAATTACTGGTCACGTGGCTTATAATCATTTATTAAGGATCTGTATTAAGGGATATTTTTAGATCGAAGTCGACATCTCCAAAATGTTTGAAATGTGTAAAACACTTAATGACCGCAATACTTATGACGTTTTTTTTTTAAAAATAGAATATGAAACGAACAAGTCGTACATGCAAAAAGTTTTCCCTTTGGTTAATATGAGACCGAATATTTATTGTCAAGTGACATCTACTGTCATTAAACGTCTCTCCGAGACAATATTTTTGTCACAACTTAAGCTTCTTGTAAGTTATGATTCAAGAAAGTGAGTGCCAGATCCCTCAACTTATACTGGACATGCATCCGAAAGAGTTCTGCTACTATTCTGGCAAACCAAGGAAGAGATATTTTATTCCTTAAAAGGCACGGTGGGTGTCGTTCGTCCTCTGTAGCTAAGGGATATATCGAAGACTGTGGATAACAAAAATCAATTTTCAAACAAGATTTTACACGGAAATTCTATAGGGAAATTCTACGGTGACAGAAAGTGATACCGCAGTCTAAAGTCTTATTACAAAATGTACAGCAATTATAGCATCATTATAAGAGAACGTTGTTTTAAACCCGAATTCTATTGCTCCAATAACTTTTAATAATTTTTCAAATTGTAAATTTTGTTTTTAATAAAAATTTATTTTTAAAATTGTACATTTATTAGATTACCTATTTACCGCCTCCTGATCGGTTAAGTAATCATTTACAGGTTGCTAATTTGTATATGTTACAAATTTCTCAACAAATTCAGTAAATTACCTGATCGTGCAAAAAGGTATTTTAGATATAGACTTTCCCTGTTGTTTGGTTTAAAACTGTTAAAAATAATAATAGTTAATATGTTCACAACCTCATAGGTAGGTATAAATAATTGTAGTGTCTACGAAATTGTTAAGTTCCCTTCCGTAGTCTTAGTTCATTCTCGGTGGTAAATTAGGCTCCCTAGGTTGTCAAATTAAGTTAAAATTCTCTAAATTATTTACAGGAATCTCAGAATGAGCAACTTTATTAAACGGGAGTGAATTTACCTGGAATCTTTGAATTCTGCGGTTGGAAAACGGGAACTTAACCCTCGATCTCAGTAGGCTGTTTACCTGACCGACTAATATGCGTCCTTCCCATAGTAAATAGAATCCGCATTTGTTGTTTATTAAAATAACATAGTTCTATTATCGTACTACTACTGTTGTTAGATACAAATATTACACCAGGAAAATTAGTGAAAATAAAAGAGAAACTCGAAAAAGGTCCTATCCGCGAGATTATTGCAAAATTATCTAAAGGAACATAATACAAGACATCTCTCATCTCGTGAGTCAAAAACATTTATTAGCTAACTTTTCTATTTAAACAAATAAGTGAGGAAAACAGTTTTTTCACTTTGCAGGGAAAACCATCAATTTTAGCGAAAAGTGACTCTCAGACAGCTTGTAGGGAGTAAAATTATCTACAAAATGAGACTTGTTAAATTAAAATCGATTAATAAACAAAAAAGTTATTGCAAAAAACAAGAAAAGTGCCAATTTTTTAATTTGTTTATAACTATCGCATTTATTGTTAAAAATTTATAAAACCTTTGACAAGTTGAGGGTTTTGTCATACTTTAAAAGTATGACAAAAGTGGAGGTGCAATAGTTTTCGCACAATTCTATTTGTTTATAACGGAGGCTCCAAAAGTTATGAACTTTAAGCCTTTGTACAGGCGCTAATTTTCAACCAAACATGATTCTGAAAGCATCATTGTAATCTTAAAGACGTAATTAAGCGACCTATTTAAAAATATCACCGTTTTTTTGACATTAACATTCTCAAATTGTGCATTAAAAACCGTGCGTTTTTCGCTTATAAACAATAGTTCAAATTGATGCGCGCTGTAAATTTTGCAATATCTCGGCTTCTATTCATCGTAGAAACTTATTATTTTTTTTTTAACTGGGGTAGCTCGACGAAAAAATAATAATGGGCATATTTACGAATTCGTAGAATAGCCCTGAACCCCAGAAAAAATGTATCTTTTATACTTAATTTTTTTTAATTTACAAAAATGTCACAAAAATTATTGTTAAACGAAATATTTATTAATATTTCAATATCGGAATTATTTTACTATTATTAAATAAATAAATGAAGCTATCGTTCATTTAAAAAGTTATTTTTTTAACATATTAAGGCAAAGTAAACTTGTTTTTTCAATATTTTGTTAGCTATTTAATTACGATTTAAATGTAAAATTAAAGTAAAAATTCATAAATTATTTTCAAATTATTCATTTTTGACATACGTGTTTGTCTGTTAATTTCAATATGATAAAAGGCATAAAAGTAATCAATCTAATTTACTTGATTAATTGTAACTGTAACTGTACTCTTTCTTGTAGTATGGGCATTTTTTTTGTTATTTTATAATGATTATTTACCTATATGCCTAATTATAAACGACCTTCAAAGTTTCCTGTTTTTTTTTTTTGTAATTTATTCGTGCTCTAACAATGTTAAGCTCATATTTAATTTATGTTTATTCTATTATTATTTCTATTAATTAACCTATCATTTTAAAAACTGGAGTTTCTGTTGGCGAAAATATTTTTTTTCACACATATTTTGCATTAACAGATAATATATGGATATTTAGTAACAGTCATAAGCATATATTTTACGTTTTAAGAAAAAGTTTAATTTCCAGCATGACACTGGTAGTTGAAATACAGAATTACTAGCGTGACTCTTGGCATGTTAAAGAAATATTTTTCGTTAAAAAAATAAGCTTTTGTTAGATCTGCAGCGATTTAATATTTGATGATTTGTCAATATTATCCCAACTTCACCTAGTTCTTTTCCAAGTGTTTAATGTAAAAAGTTAGATACGTTAGATGGATATTCTATGTTGATAATGTCTTCCAGAAATTTTAAAATTCTGAGCTAATGAAATATTAAAAAAAAGTGTCCATGTTCGTAAAAAAATCCGTTTTAGAAATACAATGTAGAAAAAAATTGTTTTTACTTGATGAACTTATAGAATTTTGGAGATGCCTATAAAAGGTTTATTCCAATTTTGTAGAATACTGCATTTTTAAGTGACAAGTAGTTAATATATTTTTTTTTGTTTACAGATGGTAACCAGGACGAAAAAAATATTCGTCGGAGGATTATCCGCGCCTACCACATTAGAAGATGTAAAAAGTTACTTCGAGCAATTTGGACCGGTAAGTAATTATAATGTTAAGCTAGGAAAATGGAACGAACAATTTGTAAAGTAATAATTATTGTCGTTTTTATTCCGTAAGCAAACTTTTGCCTGTTATTAATGGAAGTTGATTAAAAATTAATTTAAAACACCGTCCTAAATAAATGACTTCTATGTGCACAAAACATTACAGAGGCGTAATCCAGAAATTTAACTGCTTTTCACGTTTAAAATTCTTCTAATGAAAATATTTGGTTGTGCATAAGTATGCAGCACGTTCCTATGAAAATTCATAAAGGAAATTCATACAAGCAGGATCTAACAAATTTATTCATGCTTTATACGCTACATTTTGAGAATTATACTTTTTATAACCTTCTACATTTTAGTTTTAAAGGAAGTTAACTTATCTTTGTTGTTGAGTGATCTGTAACAATAAGAACCTAGCCCGATCACTCTGTAGTTAACGGTTTCGTTGTTAAAATAGATCTACTGTTATTATATTTCTACTATGACATAGTCCAAACAGTTCCCATAGAACATTTTAATCGAGCTTAATGCACTTAGGACATTTGGGAATACCTGGAATCCAAAAATGTATCATTAAGATGAATTTGATAAATACACATAAATAATGCAAACAATTAAAGGGTTAAAAGAATTTCCCAAATTTTTCCGTGATTTTTGGCAGATTGTGTTTAGGTGAAAAATGATCGTATCGGGAATAAAAAAAAATTTTGAAGCTTTAAGATTCTAGTTTTTAAATCTTTCGGTCGAAATTTTTTAGGAGCTACGGTTATCAGGCAATTCTAAAAAATAGCACCACAAAAAAATTTAGCAATTTTCTTTTTTTTTCTGTGTTCACGAACTTGGAAATTTTTTTTTTAACTAAGCCATTTCATGGATCAGATAACTTGTTTATTCAGCATCAATTTCCTTTTTTTTTTAATTTCGATACGACCATTTTTCATCGAAATATCGGACTTCAATCATTGATATCTCGGCGACAAATGGTCGTACAGAGAACTGACTGGCTCTTTTGAAAACTGGAATAAATTTCCTATAACATGCTTCCACAACTTTTCGGAAAAATTTTTTAAAAAGACAGGAAAAAATGGTAATTATGGTTTTTTAGAAAATCGACGGTTAAATTAGAAATATTCACGAAATGACTAATGTTAAGCATGACCTTTACAGTTCGATATACCCAGAAGAACCCAATGAAGTTTCATCTCGATCTAGCGAACCGTTTCTTTGTTTCAAACAGTCAAACTTTTGAAAAAAATTAAATGGTCACGTTTTTTGAGCTTAAACACTTAATAATCATGATTAAAATGGAAAAAAAATATTTGAGGTTTTTTCATATTTTTACCGCTAATAACGTTTAAATTGATGAAAAAAAAATAATAATAATAAAAAATTGAATTGAACAGAAGCATAGGACGGAAATGCCGAATCGGGTTGGAAACAATTGGATTTTGTTTACTTCAATGTCTAGGTTTTCAAAAAAAAAACAAAAAAAAAATTTTTTTTTCCCATCAATTTAAACGTTATTTGTGTAAAAATGTGAGAAAACCTCGAAAACAGTTTTGCTCAAAAAACGTGACCCTTTTATAAAAGTCATGCTTAACATTAGTCATTTAGTAAATATTTCTAATTTAGCCATCAATTTTCTAAAAAACCATAAATTACCTGTTTTTTTCATGTTTTTTAAAATTCGTGTTGATGAAAAAAAAAAATTTACCGAAAAGTTGCGGCAGTATGTTATAGGAAATTTATTCCAGTTTTCAAAACTGTCCTTCAATTCTCTGTACGACCATTTGTCGCTGAGATATCGATGATTGAAGGCAAAGTATCCTTTCCCATTAAAAGTCCAATATTTTCGATGAAAAATGGTCGTATCGAAATTTAAAAGAAAGGAAATTGAAGCTGAATAAACAAGCTATCTGGTCCATGCAATGGCTTAGCTGAAAAAAAGTCCGTGGATTCAGAAAAAAAGTCCGTGGATTCAGAAAAAAAAGAAATTTTGCAAAATTTTTTTGTCGCGCTATTTCTTAGAATTACATGATAACCGTAGCTCCTAAAAAATTTCGACCAAAAGATCTAAAAACTAGAATTTTAGAGCTTCAAAATGCTTTTTTAAATTCCCGATTCTTTTGACCCTTTAATTGTTTGTTTGCATTGTCGCGTATATGAAATCTGTTTATAACATTAAAAGGCTTTGTATATTTAAAATGTTAATTAGATAGTTTTCAATAATAACGGGGAATTATTACAATAAAATTATACTAAATTTGTACATTTGATCTCTCCTCAAATACTTTTGTGTAGTGGTTAATATTGTGTTTTACATCGAACATTGGCAATTTCGTAGAACCCCTAGGAATGGTTTTGGGAAAAATATTAGTTTTTTTTTATTTATCCTAAATTTTGTGCACAATTGCTGCTAGATCGTATATGTATTAAATAAAAATATTCTTTATGGGTGATGCAAAACGCTAAAGGTATTTGCTTCGTTACAAATAATCCTTACGGATTAAATGTTGTGGTCTGAATTTAGCTATCTCTGGATATTTATTGAATTTTGATGATCAGAGTATTACCTTTAAATTCCAATTAATTACTTTAAACTAAATTACTAACATATTCATGGAATAAATCGCTATTTACAAAACGATTTAATTCGGCTGGCGGTAAAATAGACGAACAAGTAAATAAATTAACGCGACTCCCCAAACCGCTAAACTATTGCACTACGTGTAACATATTTTGTTTCACTGTTGCTGATGGGTAATATATGAGTTCATATTGTAGGGACAAGTAAATGCCGAAACGACTCGTAAATCTTACATTTTCTGGTGATCCTAGTTGGAATTTAGGAAAACAGCTTGCTGGTCGTAAAAGCTATGATTTACACGGGTCTTAAAGGTATCTAATTAAATTAGTTGCAAACTAAAATTACTGGAACTACATCCCAAAGGAAATTGCTTCGTTATCACCTAGCAAAACTGGAAATATCCCGTCCCCTTCAATAAAGGAATATTAGATTTAGTTAGCTATTTATATAGGGTTACAAAACACGTCTTTTGTTCTTCTAATTCACCAGCCAGTCATTAAAAGAAGGTCCTGGTTTCACGCAAAATTTTACGTTGCATCGTCACTTAAACACATTGCACTCAAATTACAATATCACGAAAACTAAATGAGATATCAACAATCTAAGAACATGTGGTTGCAAAGGAAATTATGCGCAACGCAATGTTGCCAATCGCATATCACTAAATATCTCCATTAGCGCGTAGTTTAAAATGTTCGGTTATTTTCTGAACAGACCTCGTATGTTTGAGGATGATATTTTTCAAAACGGATACAACATTCTAAAAATCATTTGAGAGAATTCAAAATAAGTTGTTATGTTGGATTTTGAAATTTTTTGAGAATGGCGCTCACTAATTTCGAATAATCAGTAAAATATGACAACGGTACATAATTGTTTGAATATGTACATAGCATGATATTTTAATAAAAATTTAGATCTATACTTATTATGTTGGACAACTTTAGGTATATTTGATTTTTTCGAATGTGTTGTAAATGCGTGCGGATATTTTTTATCGATATTAAAATATTACTTTCATAAATCGTGTAGGAAGGACAATAATAATTTTCTTCCAGCGCTGTTCATAGGTACTTTAAGACACCTACAAAATTAATTACAGAACGCCGTTAAAAAAGGGAAGTAATTTCAGAAAAGAAAAAGCTATAACGAAGAAGAATTATGTTGTTCCATTAGGGCTGTTAATCACTTTAATGACTTTATTACGAAGGAATATTTGGAAGCCTAACGTTAACGCACAGAAAATTATATCCGGGAGCAAGTGTTTGGGTAATTGAATGCTCTGCAAGTCTCTGTATCAAAAACACCAACTTTGGCATCAGAACTTTGAAAAGTTTAGCGTGGAAACTGGAAAGTCATGTATGAGTTTCGCTTGGGAATATTCAGATGGAGGTGGAATTCTAGCAACTATACGGAACAGCGCTTTTTCGCTGATCCCTGGAATTATAAATGTAAACCTAGGAAAACAACCACGTTGCTTCAAACAAGGATTATTCGGCCTTTTCTTACGCCTACAAACTTATTCTCAAATATAAGAAACATTCCAACTTTTAATCAGCTGCTAACAAAAAAGTTCCCCTGAATTTTCCCCAGACATTCAAATGCCACGTTCACAAACAATAACGTTATTGGATTGAATTCTGGATTGTATAAGGAGTTTCAGCTTAATATTTCTTTATTAAGTCGGCCATTACTGTAAAATGTGAAAATGAACTGGTAACGAGAAGAAATAGGTTGGCACTAATTTTTATTTAAGTCATCTCTTCTTGTTTGAATCGACAATTTTTTTTCGAATAACATAGACGTAATTGGCTAATAAATCATATTTGTTTTTAAAATACAAAAAAACGTACCTTGCCGACAGGAGTAAAAGTTTATTTACCTCAGTTCTACAATTCCAATGGAAACCATAAAAATAAATATTACTTATGAAAACACAGACTAATTTTAAAACAGCCCAATTAGGCAGTTATCAAAAATAAACTTAATTTCTTCACTACACTAACTTTGCTAAATATACAATTTCTCTCCATAAATTTACTAAAGGAATATATTTTCAAGAATTTTCCAGTTATTAAACTATTTAAAAGTATTCAAAAATGTATACAAATGTATTCAAATGTATTTAAATTTACTATTTGTCAGTATTCAGTTATTTATTTATTAATTATAGGTATTTATATTAATTTTTGTACACCGAAACGTATTTGTTCAAATTCTTGCACCTATTTGGTGGAACATAAACTTCAGCCTTTTATTCAGATTCCGAAGGACTCCAAATAGATTTTTTTCATGTCGTGGTTTAGGGACGCAATTTTCATCGAAATTTCAATAGTAGGTACAATCATTTGTGCAGTGTTTCTTGTTATCAGTCTTTCGCTGATGTATGTAAATATAATGTC